TAAACCACTGACCAAAATGCTTAAGCTGAAGTTGACACAGACCCTTATAAGTCAGTGTTACAATCACCCCCACTCAAAGGTTTGATGTCCTCGTCAAGACCCAACATAACCCAGATCAGATCCTAGTATAGTGCATGTGAGGCGTATCAACTTCGTTTACGGGTAACCCTTTCCTACTCGAGCCCCCTTACCATGCCCAAATGCTAGGTCGGCTCTGATACCAAATGTCATGACCCGAGTCTGATAGGCTAACTGGCCTATCAACTTCGTTTGGTTTAAACCACTGACCAAAACGCTTAAGCTGAAGTTGATAGTAGTACACTCATCAGACCCTTATAAGTTAATCTTAATATTGCCCACTTTCGATGTGGAACTAATCAGGGTGTTACATATGGAGTAGAGCAATGACAGAACAAAATATTACTTTAACTAAATAGATGTATGCAATTACAATGAAAAATGGCAAAACACATTTCTTTTGAAGTGCTCCTTTGAATAAATAAACACCAGAAAATATGTGCTTCAAATCATGTCCAAATCAGACAAGAAAATAAACGAGGACAAAGGACAAAGTGACATGAGTTGTCTTTATGCCAAGACTCAAGCATTGTTTATCATATCATAATTCCATTAACATTGTGGAGCACAAGACAAAGGTGTCCATGGCTGAAAGTGAGTTGGTATTATACAATACTTCTCATGAAATGCATGGGCACAAGACATGTCAGCATTACTTGGAATGCTGATCCATTCCAAGGAATAGCATCTCCAATACATGCAGCCTAAACAGTGTTTTGTTGCCACTGCTATGTGATCAGCTAATGTCAGCATTACTTGGTCCTTTATTAAAAAGACATTTATCGTTACATAGTATTCTTATCAAAGTTATTACATTCTCATTACCATTAAAGTCAGCATTACTTACAATAGAATCCATTTCTAATTGCTCTTTTAATTTCTTTTCATGCCTGGATTTTCAAGAGCTTGGCCAATCTTCAAGATTCACCCAAGTTTTTCAAATAATGAAAAGACTACTGTTTAACACTTTTGGTATTGAGTTGGCTCTATAATGTCTACAACTTCTGGCATCCATAAGTATCATAAGGTAAAAATGTAGTGATTAATGTAAAATCATAGGATGATCTTGTGGTTTGAGTTATGTCCAAAATATAATGGTAGAATAGGGCATTCAAGTAGTTATTTGGAACCCAAAAACAAAAAGAAAAGAAAATATCAATAGAGAAGGAAGATATCTTCCATCTAGAATATCATAACCTTCCAAGGATGAACAGCATCCGATCAAGGAAAAAGCAAAGTAGAGAAGTCCGTCGGCAAAATCACTTAAATAACAGTTCTAGCAGGATTTTGAAGGTTTTTATGTGTTGACAAAAATCTAACTGGAAAGACCATTGCTCAATGCATTTGAATTAGTATAGCATGCAGCCATTTATATCCATCCTCAGTTTGAAATTTTAAGTGTCTTATTGTGGCCAAAGCTGATCATTCACTACTAGGAATGTTTTAGATGGTGTTTTTTATCTTGTGTAGTTATGACTAAGCATTCCTCAATCCATGACATACTTTGGCAGAATTTCTTCTGTAATAGGCGAGGTTCATGAGATTGTATTTAGAAGCAATCTTAGCTTATCGATACTTTCTCTCAATGCTTCTCTAGAAAATTCTACTGCTGCTTGATACCATACTACTGAGACTAAAATTGAGGCAAAGGGATCGTTAAAGAAGCGCAAATACTTGTACAAGTGAGGTAAAAGATCAAAATATGACTTTTGCTTACCAAATGCTTTGCCGCCAAGTTCTTCTGCAGAGCTTTAAGATCCCCCTGGAACCCCGAGGACGCCATCACACACTTGTCTGCTCTGCATCACGGAAACAACTTGTCAGCATAGACCCAGAAACCAGGTTGGTACGAACGGCGACAACACAGCCGTACAGCTTGCAGATCTTGGAGTAGTCGCGGGTGTAGATGCTGTAGCCGACGGAGAGCCTCGTGTCGGCGGCAATCACGCAGTAGTCCGCTCCCGCGATCGCGACGCAGGTCCTTAACCAAGCAAGAGAGCATATGAAACGCGCATGTTAACTGTCCCGAAAAAGGGGAGGAAGGGGAGATGGGATGGGACGTACCCTCCATTGTTCTCGTACATCCAGTTGCCCCTGAGAGCCATATCGCTGTAGTCGTCGGCGATAATGGAGAGAGAGAGAGAGAGAGAGAAGTAGGGGGA